AGCAGAAATTGCGTCCTGTGGTTTAGTCTAAGGGTGGGGATAAACGATCAACAGGACTGGTGAGCATCTTTGAATAACTATTTTTTGAGATCGTGCATTTCAAATGTCACTGCTGAGCCAGTTTATCCTCCTGGACATCTTGTAGAGGAATGGTTGCTAGATTCTACTGAACATGGCGCAACACTGGGTACCACATAAGGCTGGACTCGAGTTGAAAGAGTCCGTGCAGATAACACAAATAGTGAAGTGGACCAGGTAGGGACTGTGGTAAAGTTGAGCACATTTACCAGGTGTAAATCTCCAGTCAATTCTTGCCATGTAAACCCGCCGCTGCCAGATATTGATTTTTCAAGAGAAGCCAGAAATTTTGACTTTAGGTAAAAGATTCTCACTTTTTTGTTGGCAGCTAATTAAAAATAATTTTAATACTGTAAGCCAAACAAAATAGATTTCAACAAAACACACATGGGATGCATTTAATTGGTGGGCCACAGGCTTATAATCTCTGATATAAAGTACATTGTTAAGCTGGCCTAGTTCTTGTCTTCCAAGAACTCTCAACAGGAAAGAATAGAAAGATATTTATTCTTCTAGGAGCTGGCCCCCCAGTAGCTCTAGAAATATGAAATCTATTTCTGATTTTTGGCTCTATAAGTTCATCTCTTCTAGAACAAGACTCTAAAAACTCTAAAACTTCCACGTAAACAGCAAATCACGCAGAGCATCTGTGTTCCCATAGCCCACAAGGAGAGGGGTCCAGGAGGTGGCCTCAATCTGAAGCTCCCCGTCTGCGAGACACCAGAGCCTGCTACCTTGCAGTCACAACTGGGTACTGCTGTACATCCCCTGGACCCATCTGACGCTCTTTTCTCAGGACTTTCATAAGCTCACATTTTTACAAGACTATTTGCAAAACCAGTAAAAAGATAGCACCAAATTATGACAATATAAGATATATTCAGCAGAGCTCTTCAGATTCTCCTCCATGTGTCGATGTAGATAGAGGACCTGTCTCTTACTACCTAGTTGATATTAGTGTTTTCCTAGCTATCTGTATGATTTACCTACCTTTGGTTTTGTTGATTTCTCTGATGTTGGCTGCTCACTTGATCCGGAAACTGCTTTTTCACTATGGGCATGCTTGCTACCTGTATCTGAAGCATGTTTGGATAGGCTTTTTGGCTGAAAATACACACATACACCACTTTGTTAACAAACAAGATGGCAAATAGATACTTTTCTCAATGGAACAGAAAGTGTTCACACAGTTGTGTTTTATGTAGTTATGAACTGTGCGAATTTAAATTGATGTGATATAGATGTGATAAATCTTCACTTTAGGTTCAAAATTTGATATAACGCAAATCCTTCTCCACAAATACAGCAAGAATCATGAATAAATGGCAAATCCTGCTATTGCCACACGGTGGTGCCGTTTTAGCCAAAAACAAATATCACCCATCCTAGCAGGATTTAAGTCTTGAATGTTTAAGAGTTTAGTATTTAATCCATGAGTGTGCAGTGCACACACACTCGTGCCCACCCAAGCCAAAAGGCTTCACCTTATGATATCAAGTCCTAATAATGATCATTTACCTCTCTGTGTTCCTTTGGCTTTACTTCTTGAGTTTTTTCCTCATGAACCACAGATGGCTGTCAATTTCAAAAAAAAAAAAAAAATCTCAATTACACTGGATTTCATTGTTTTCATATTGCCAAATAGGCTCAAGAACAAAATTTGCAATTAGACCATTCTGCCTCTCTTGGGAAAGGCCCAATTAGAGAAGTATATGTGCTGTCTGGTCAGGGGCAATCCTATCAAAAGTCTGAAAAATGATAATCATCAGAATAATGACAAATTTAGTATTTCACCTAGAATCGTTTTTCAAATAGGTACTCATCTCTAAGTTATTGGCTTTTTTTCACAATTCATGTGAAGCTTTTGGTAACTACAGGTCCATCCACAGAGATGTCAAATGATCACTGTGACCACTGAGTTTGTTGATAGGGTGTCCAACTCTAAAAATTAATTTTTAAATTTCCTCTCATAGGAGATAAAGAAAACTGCATTTTCTTCAACTAAAAAGTTTATATAGTCATTTCTGTGTTGCAAGTCGAGAAAAAACCAGAAACACAATTCTCTGGAGATAGGGTAGATAGCCAAAAGCATTTAAATATAAAATAGAAGACTTTCCTCCACCTGTCTGGACTATGGAATTATCATCCTCAGAGGCCACCAAGATGCCTTACAGAAAATCAGATAAGCCTCACCTTTCACACAGATGGCCTTGCCCTTGCCTCCACTTAAAGTATTTCAGCCCACAGCATCTCTGTGCTTTCCCACAGGGAACCTTAGGTTTCATCTAAGTATTTATTTTCTTGAGTGTGCTTGAAAGAAATGAAGAGCAGCATCCTATTGAAAAGAAGCGTTTGCCATGCCTGCAGACACCCTGAAGTCCATCTCCAAGTGGAGACAGGTCAGCTTTCAGCGTAGACAGCCTTGAGTCAAGAAAGCCAGGGAAGGTGTTCCCAAGGGAGAGTCTCAGAGCTGTCTCTTCAATGGCTAGTTCTACCAACCAAGATAAGACTGTCGAGATTAAGCCAGCCACCCTCTTAGGAAGGATTTTTATCTTTAAGTTATCTAGGTGCTAGGTTCAACAGACAGTTATTCTTGATATCTCATTATTAAAGTAACTGGATACTCATTACCCTTTGCCCTCTCTCCTTTATTCCTGCCGCTTAGTTTTTTAAACAATTACTTCACCTATAAAAAATATAGATGTGAACAAATTCCTTTTGAAATGTATTGTTTTTATTTATAAAATAAACATTAATTTTATATACAATTTTAATGTTATAATTATTTTATACTCTATAAAATCATGTGCAAAAGAATAATCCAAAATTCAATAAATTAGCTGACAAAAATCCTTTTACCATTCAGTACAACCAATGGAGAAACTTGGTTATTCATTACTATTGTCCTAATCCTCTCCAATATTTGTTATTACTTGTTCTGTTGATTATAGCTACTCTAACAAGTGTGAGATGGTATCTCATTGTGGTTATATTCATTGCTATTGTAAAGAATCCAAATAACTCACCAGTTGACTTAAATCACTTACCTTAGTTAACTGTGACTTCTTTTCAGGTTCTATTTTTACAGCCTAAATGCAGAAAAAGAAAGAAAAAGGATGGAAGGAAGGAAATAAGGGAGGAAAAATGGACATCATTTACAAAGTTTATCATAGATTTTCTCCAACTAAGGAAGCTAAAAAGATGATTCTGATGTATTTATAAATATAAACTTTATGAGTTAAAATTATTATACTTTGTTTGGAATTATAACTCTTAGATAAACACTTAAGCACACTAATATTCTGTTTTTACTATTTAGGTGCCAGTTTACATCTCACTTTTCCTATGAGTATCAAAGATACATAAAGATTTATTGCTATGAACATTATAGCTAATACATAAGCAAAAGAAAATAAAAACCCTCATCCTTCAAAGCCACTAACATAATAGATCTCTGTATGAGATCTTTCCTATGATGAGTGAAATACTCATCATAGGTTTTGGCTGATGCTGTGAAGCAATGGGATAGTGAAAAAACTGAGGGCACAGAAAGCAGTGAAATTTATTTTTAGTGCCAGAACATGAGCAATGGGTGACAGCCTACTAGAAAGTCTGTGATGGGTCAGAGAGTCACAGAAGATTGTGAACTGCAATCAGCACGTACTGGAAAGCCAAAGTGAACATTAGCAAGCAGAAATGTGCCCCGGTACAATGAACCACATCACCTGTTTTCTGTGCCTTTTCTTATTAGGAGGATGAGGTCCTTCCATCTGATTGCTGATTGGAATGGCCTAATATAAGAGCACAACCCCAAGTATGGTCTTATTTTACCTGACAGTCAAACAAGTACCACATATACACAGAGCTAAAATGTTTATATCAAGACCCATTACACTCATTTATTGCATCTACTCTATGCAGATGTATATAACTCCAAGAAGTTGAAGGAGCTTAAATTCTCAAGTCTCAAGCAAATATTTCAGTTTGGATTTACTTTTCCTGGTATAGAAAAATCTGTAAGATTTTCATTAATAAAATTAGTTTCGGATCTCTTTCCTTTCCTTCCCTTCTCTGCGTAAAGGCTGCTTGAGCAATATTTTTCCATCTATATTTCTAATGCTTGGTTATGATCAAAGGAAAAGTTTTCTAAAATTCTGGCAATCTAATTGTACAACAATTTTGTAAAAAGTGCATGTGTTTTTATTGTACAATAAAAATCTAGAGATCTAAAGTTCTAGGAATGCTCTGGAAGAATTGGTTCGGATTTAGGATCTTTAGTGGAGTATTCAACAGAGTTTTACCCAACCAAAGGTTACTTGTGGCAAAAAAAGACAATTCCTTAAGTATATGTACGCATTCTTGGCATAGGAAAGATAAGAAAACAAAAATAAAATTTGATTATTTTATGGATTTTTTCAAAGTAAGAAATTAAAAATTAGGCCTAATGCTCCCTATAATTTCTTTCCCTTTTATTTGTTTGGTGGTATTAGCACAAACTTCTATTTTTTAAATTCTATTATCTGAAGAGGTTAATGCCAAATATCTTCTTAATTTACCACATCTTGTGCTTCTGTAATGAAGATAGATACCTTCTTCACATAATAGGTTCTTGTTATGCTGACACACTTATGGTTTTGGGAAAGAAACAAAGTTCATGATCAAAGAAATGTTTGTTTTTTTTTAATTTTTTAAAAGTTTGGATCTTTTCAAACTGGATCTTTGTTAATGAGTTTCCAAATGTGCTACTATGCTTTCTTGAATTTATGCAAATGTAATTAATTAAATTGACAAGAAAAATAAGTGAGCTGGTATTGTAATGGTGTGAATCTATTAATAGCTTCTAATTTGTAATTGGGCAATCAATACAATTAAAAATGTACACTCACAGATGCAAGGTTAAATCACTTCTAATCAATTAGAATTGGTAGTCACACTGCTGTATGTGAGATCTAAGTTCTCCTTCTCACGCAGCAGTGTGTGTGTGAGAGAGAAGTTAGGTCTAGACACATCACCACCCTTCAGAGCTAGACTGAATTTCATTTGAAAGGTGTAGAGCATGACAAAGATTTGGCATAGATATTATCTTGAATTAACATCTTTTCTCTAAAAGCTCAAAATATTAGGAGAAATATGCTCATCAAGTTCACAAAAATCTCTAAGAGGTTAGTAAAAATGTTATGAGCCAAACATCAGAAGCACATGGAGATAATAATGAGTACAGAGTGACTGAAGTCCACCAAGGAGAGAGAATTGAGGCCAAAAGTGGTCCAGAGTCAGCCACTGGTGACACGTCATCATGTGCATCTTATTTTTGTCTCTACCTCTCTTTGCTCTCCTTCTACTTTCTTCTTGCTCCTCCATCCCTCGAGTTCCATAGGACTGCCAGAAATTCTCATGATTAATGCTTAGCTATGGCTGAAGAGTTTGTTGACACTTGCCCTGGGAAACAGAGCACACCTGAAATAACCATTGATCTTTGAGCTGAGAGTCAAGGAGGATGAATTAGAATCAAACAAGGGGTCGAATGTGAACCAAAATAATAAAAAGGAAATCCTGTATTTTTGGTTCTCCTTTTATCTACTTTTTTTAGTTTTTATCAACTCTAAGGTCAATGAGAATTGGTTTTTGGTAGACACTTCTACAGTTTTAAGATTATTTTAAGATCGAAATAAGATTTATTTTTAATTTTTAAGATTAAGCTTGGTATAAAAAAGTAGTGGCAGCTAATAGATTAATTATGGATCAAATAATGTATATTTTGAAAAAATTAAGAAATTTATGTAAATGTAAAATCTAAATAACAATTTTAGATTAAAATACATTTAAAAATTAAAATGAATGCTAGATGACATTTATAAGAGCTTAGATTCAAACAGTGTGTTTCAAGATATTTGCAATGTCCTTTAAAGACAGTTCAAGATGAGGCCATAGGATTCCTCAATAGTACTAAATTACGGCCCCAGTACTAAATTACGGCATAAGATCCCACTGGGATAGCAAAATAATATAGAAGACAGAATACAAAACTGTGTTGGTGATTTTAAACAAGGGCAACTTAGTAATAAGGAGGTAGGGTAGCTCTTCAAGATACTCAGGAATATCGGCTCATAAGAATTAGTTGAGAACATCTTGAAAATGCTACCTCTTTAGTTCTCTAGCCAAGAATATTCCCAAGAAACAGAGCTTGAGACATGGTAACTGAGGGAGAGGGTTTAAGACAGCGTCAGCCTACTCTTCAGAATTAGGCTTACTCTATGTGGCAATCTTATTGGAGAACATTCTCTTATTTTTTCTTCTGAAATTCAAATAAATAATTATTAGAATATACTCCAAATGCAGCTCAACAAAGGTTTATCAATAAGACAGTACCCCATATGACTCAAATTTTAGAAAGAAACTTCAGAAAGCATTGGAAACAGCAAGTCTGTTTCACTTCTTTCTATGTTCATTTAGTGTAACTTTTCTCATTCTTATATTTAGTTTTAAATGACTGGAATAATAAAACAATTTTAGTAAAAAGTTAAGGAATTTATATGCTTATTTAAAGCCAGAGAAATGCACTTCGATTATCTTACGAATAAAAAATCAGGTCTAGGACCAAAATAGCTCTGGGTGACCACACTTTCCTAGATAGTCTAAAATGATAGAAGTATACAGATGATGTTGGAAGTGAATATTGAAAGGAAAGCTGAGTTTCCGAAGATCCCTATAAATTAGGAAGAAAATGTTTATTTCTATAACCTAAGCCTCCTAGGACATACAAATCATCTGTCAACTATTAGTCTACTTAATCAACTATTGTTTTACTTAATCATCTTAAAGGCATTCACATTCACCAAAGCTGACCTTGGAAGACTCTCCATACCTTGGTTTCTGTGGGATTCATACTGGAAGACTTGCTGGTTGAAGCAGAGGAAGTGGACACCTAGGAAAGAAAGAAATAATCTGATTCTAGTTAACCTGCAACCTACTTCATCCTTCGGCTCCTCTTAACCATACTTGCTCTTACCTGTTTATCTTGATTTTACCTTGTCTAGAGTATAACTCCCACAAAAGTCCAGTAGGCGGTTTTGCCCAGTGGGTAAAAGCCTTTATAACCAGATAAAATGGGTTCAAATTTGGGATGTGTTACTTACTAAATAATCTTGGGCAAGTTACTCAAATTTTCTGATTTTCTGTTTCCCCTTTCTCAATTTTTCTTCATTGGGTGACAACTACCTTGTAAGTTCATTACCACTCTGTATATAAGTGCTCAGTAAATATTATTATAATTATTGTTTGTGTTATTTTTGAAAAGAACATGGACTTTATATTTGATAGAAAATTGTTCAAATGCCAACTCTGCCAATTACTAGCTCTGTGACTTTGAGTCTCAGTTTCCTAAGTACATAAAATGGGGCCTATAACATATATTTTACGGGGTTGAGAGTATTTGAAATAATATGTGTAAAATGTATGGCACATTGTAGGTGCTCATTAAATTACTAATGCCTTATTCCTAAGATATTTTACAAAATAGAAGGAACAAAACATAACTCTGGGAAACAGATGCAGCTCGATTAGAATCATCCTGTCAGTGTCACTATAAGGAAGAGACATGGGAGATGGGTTGAATACCTGTCTCATCTAGGCTCCTCCCTAGTGGGCAAAGGAGATGAATCATAACTAAAGTATTCAAGAAACACCTTTCCTAGGGATGCAAGGGGGTAGTGGAATCAGCCCCTTCAATCTACCACCCAAACAGTGTGAGATGTGCACATGATACTTGCATGGGTTTGAATATTACTCTAGTACTTTACTTGCATTACACTGGTTAATATTAAATAGACGATTGCTATCTTTGTGAATTCCAACCCAGGCTCTTTAAATCTCCTTAACATTTGAGTCTGTTAAATTTTAGAGCCCAGGGATTCCATCTGGCACAAGATGCCTTCTTAAGCAAGCAGCTGTCAGTAAACAGCTGCTGCCCTGCCAACAATACCCGGAAGCCTGCCTCTGATGCCCTGCGCCACTTCAGAGGCCAAGACCCAGGGCAGAACGAGCCCATCCCTGCTGGTCTCCCGCCTCTCCAATTACCACACACGTCCATTCCAGGTGACTGTGTGAACTCACTATAACCCACGGCCCATGAACAAAATCAGCTTCCTCACAGACCCCCCTCAATGTAGACTATGTTGGTGCTTACAGTTAAATTACCATGATTTACAGATAAAAGCCTAAAGTTTCAGAATACCGATTACGCAACATAATCATATGAACTTAGCTAATTCTGAGCACCCTTCGGCACCAGCTAAGCGTTCCCCAACTCCAACACACCTGGTCCTGTAGCAGGGCATGAAGTGGTCTCTCTTATATTCTAGAACTGGAAGATGTACCAAGGTAGGTTCTCCCAACCCCCACCACTGAATTAATGAACAAATATATGAATATTCACTTTTTCTTTGAGAATTTTTTTAATTTGTGGAGATTAATGTACCCACATGTATATAATTCTATCTTCCCACAATTAGAATTGGTTGTACAAATTTCCATTCAAACTCAAGAAGTTCTGCTTTGATACATCCCACTCCTTCAATGATTACTCTCAACCATATTAAACCACCAAAGACCAGACACTCCGTATGAAAGTGCTTTTTAAGCTGCAAATCTTTAAATGGACATTAATGTTCCAAACATCCAAATTTACTAAAATACCTCCCCCCAAATCACACAGCCATAGGGTTTCCAACCTACCTTACTACTTCATTAGGCAACAGCTGGATGTGATCTTGTATTCCTAGAAAGGCTTTCAAAGGCCCACCAAGAACAGTAAGATCTACGAGGACTAGCTGTTAACAAGCATGGAGCAGGTTACCATGGGAATTTAGCTGAAGGCCTTGGCCCCATCTGTTCTCAGCATAGATTCCTCCATGGAAGTTTCACCCTGTCACTAAGTCACTAACATTTTGAAATTGAAATAAAAGCTATTCATGGGGTCTGGGTATAAGGGAAATAATCTTACCCCATTGTGAACCCATTCAACTCCAGACAACTATATTTTGTTTTCTTCTATTTTTAAAGACGAGGACCTGTTTTGTTATCTTTAGTGAGATACTGAATATACTTTCATTTTAAATGTTCTAAACTTTTTAAATTTCTAATTATAGGTGTGAATAACATGATTGAAAAAATTTGAAGTTAATTCAAATGTAGTTTGTTAATTCAAATGTAGTTTGTATTATGTTAGATGATGGGAATACAGTGGTGAAACAGACAGGGCCCTATCCTTGCAAAAGTTATAGCCTCATAAGAGAGAACTTGAATAATCACTTCAATGATTACTTGCGGTAAGAGCTATAAAGGGGCCCACAAGAACATAGACTAGACAATCAGAGTTAGTTCAGGAGACAGTCGGGACAGGTGATGCTGAGGAAGGGACAGTTAACGTGACAACTGAAAGATAAGGAAGCGTCACCCAGGCAAAAGGCCAGGAAGGGCCCTCTGAGACATGTGTGCTGAGGCTGGGACCTAGGCTGTCTGACTTCTAAAGCAGTGATTCTGCAGCAGGACCTACCACTTGGCCAGCCCTCCTAACATCAAGAGGCATCCAACCGTAAAACACAACCATCAGTACTCATATATACAAAAATATCTCTACTGGGATTAGTGCTGTAAGTCAGCCTGAATTTGCAGGTATAACAATACTTTCATTTCCAAATGACCCATGCAAGTCTCTTAACATCCAGAGTATCGTTAGTTTACATTACAATTTAAGTGCTCTGAAAGAGGTATGAAGAGAATTCTACGTGACAAATGTTTGAGTTCCAAGTCAGTTTCAGGCCCACATCCAATGATCTTGCTGTAATTGTTGAGCTGCATTAAAAATAAACTAACATTGATAAAAGAGTAATTTCAGCCTAGAAGAAATTAATATTTAATCCTGTACTTATCCAATACAGCATCTTATATAATGGCATTATTCAGCAAAATCTCTTTAAATGTGTTTACTTGCTAAGTAAGAATTCGGGAAGTTTACTGCAGTAAATGATTAGCGACATGACAGAAAGATGATATGCTTTTAAGACTCCTGGAAAATGGACACTGCTTTCCTTTTTCACATCTATTGTGCAGTTGTCTCCCAGACTACAGCCTTTTAGCTCTCTTACCCATTCTGGCCGGATTAATCTTCTCTCATGTCACTCCACACACGTCTCCCTCTAAAGTAGAACCAGCAATGATGACTCTTGTTGCCCGCTATATCACACAGAAATCTATTCCCTTGCTTTTAAAGACACCCAGGCTTCAATCCCACGTCATCTCCCAATTTAGAACAGCTGCTCTGGGAAGGCAGCCCATCCCTGCCTCAGAGTTCACCTCACTTACCTCTCCCTTTATATTGTTTTCACACAAGTGCCACTGGTTAAGATGCTTCTCCTCTCCAAATATCCAAATGCTACATGCCTTTCCTTTCAGGTGTATCTTACTAGCTCCCAGTCCTGGCATTGTAACTTCTGAACCACTATGATCAGAACTTAATGGGCATCCTCCTTCCCCTATCACACACTCACTGATTCAGAGCACCACATACAGGCAAATAATCCCACAACTGTGTCATGAATTGTCTCCTCCACCAGATGGCGTCCCTTAAAAGAACTGTCTGTTGGGTGCACCAATGTGCTGACCTCCAATCTTACTCACAGCAGGTCTCTATCCAGGGTTTTTTTTCTTGTTTATACGGGGAACCTAGTGAGGCTGCACGAGAAGAGATAGAAGACCTAGTACCAACCTCAACCATGGGATGCTGGAGGTGAGTGGAGAGTTGTGAGCTAGCCCACAGGTCCTGGTGAATGGCCAAGGTGGGAGAGTTCAAGGCTCCCTTAGAAAAGATGGAGTCCTAGAGGGCTTAGTCATCCGTTCTGCTGCCATTAAATCTAGCTGACGAAAAAGTCAATCCCTCAGCTCCTTACTTGTCTGTCTTCCAGGCGATAGAGTCCTTTCACTTAGGTTCCCTCCTAGAAGATTCAGCTTCTTTCTGGGCACTTCCGGTTGGTTTATAGTAATCCACACTCCATCCTCTCTCCTTCAGTCACACAAGCCTCACTTGTCACTGCCTGGCTTGGTTCAGAATGTGCACACAGAGAGTGGGCCAGCAGGTGAGATGACTCAGAACTGTTTCACCTTAGCCCAGACCTTGCTTCCTTTTCCCTCCCCTAACCGGCAGCATTCCTATGTCCTCCTACCTGCAGCACTAATCACCCTTTACACACCCGACCTGCCTGTGTTTGCTGAGGGTTACTAGGAACGCCAGCTGCATGTGTGTACTTTTCTCTCTGATAATCCATCAGTAGTTTCATTCTAGATCACAGACCATCCTCTCTCCGGTGGCAGCTTGACACTAGAAGCTATCGGCTCTCTCTCTAGCCCTCTGACCTGTCTCCTAGAAGCCTCTTCCACCTGCTCCATTCTTCTCTGTGTTAATATTCAGTCACAAGCCCTCTCTTTCTATTATTACTACCTCAGAAAGTTGATTTCTCCCCATGACTCTATGATTTATTATGTGAACAACTCTACGTACCTTATCAGCAACCCTACTTTATCACTAGACTACATTATTTTGCCTTAAAGTGAGGAAGCCAAGAAACATGCAGGCTCAGATTTCCACTTCAGTACTTACTAATCCACATTAATTAATCTCCTGGAGCTGGAGCCTCCATTCTGTTATCTGGAAAACGGGCGTAATATCAC